TGGTTTAATATTGGTCCTGTAATTTAATAAAAAATCCTGGTGGCCATCTTGAACAGTAAATCGGCAACAAAGTAGCAACACTTCATCAGCACCTCATAAGAAAAATTTATGCCTTGTTTGGTTTCATTCCATTCAGTGCACCTCTAGAAGTAGCATTTGTATGTATTTCCCATAGGGTCGTATGTTAGACGAAGTCCCCCGCTGGCGGCCATCGTGGATGAAAGATCAGCTTCAAAGTAACAACACTTAGTCAGCACCTCATAAGGAACAGTCGTGCCATGTTTGGTTTCATTCCATTCAGTACGTGGTTCTCTAAAAGAAGACATTTGTATGTATTGTCCATAGGGTCCTTTGTTAAACATTGTCCCCAGCTGGCGGCCATCTTGGATGATGGATCGGCTTCAAAGTAACAACACTTGTTCAACACTTCATAAGGAACATTCATGCCATGTTTGGTTTCATTCCATTTAGTGGTTCTCTAAAAGAAGACATTTGTAAATATTTCCCATAGGGTCCTATGTTAAACTAAGTCCTCCACTGGCGGACATCTTGGATTATGGATCGGCTTCAAAGTAACAAAACTTGGTCAGCACCTCATAAGAAACATTCATGCCATGTTTGGTTTCATTCCATTCAGTGGTTCTCTAAAAGAAGGCATTTGTATATATTTCCCATATGGTCCTATGTTAAAATAAGTCCCCCGCTGGCGGCCATCTTGGATGATGGATCGGCTTCAAAGTAACAACACTTGTTTAGCACTTCATAAGGAACATACATGCCATTTATGGTTTCATTCCATTTAGTGGTTCTCTAAAAGAAGACATTTGTATGTATTTCCCATAGGGTCCTATGTTAAACTAAGTCCCCCACTGGCGGCCATCTTCAATGATGGATCGGCTACAAAGTAACAACACTTGGTCAGTACCTCATAAGGAACATTCATGCCATGTTTGGTGTCATTCCATTCGGTGGTTCTCTATAACAAGACATTTGTATGTATTTCCCATAGGGTCCTATGTTAAACTAAGTCCCCCGCTGGTGGCAATCTTGGATGATGGATCGGCTTCAAAGTAACAACACTTTGTCAACACCTCATAAGGAACATTCATGCCATGTTTGGTTTCATTCCATTCAGTGGTTCTCTAAAAGGAGACATTTGTATGTATTTCCCATAAGGTCCTATTTTTAACTAAGTCCCCCGCTGGCGGCAATCTTGGATGATGGATCGGCTACAAAGTAACAACACTTGGTCAGCACCTCGTAAGGATCATTCATGTCATGTTTGGTTTCATTCCATTCAGTGGTTCTCTAAAAGAAGACATTTGTATGTATTTCCCATAGGGTCCTATGTTAAAATAAGTCCCCCGCTGGCGGCCATCTTGGATGATGGATCGGCTTCAAAGTAACAACACTTGTTTAGCACCTCATAAGGAACATACATGCCATTTATGGTTTCATTCCATTTAGTGGTTCTCTAAAAGAAGACATTTGTATGTATTTCCCATAGGGTCCTATGTTAAACTAAGTCCCCCACTGGCGGCCATCTTCAATGATGGATCGGCTACAAAGTAACAACACTTGGTCAGTACCTCATAAGGAACATTCATGCCATGTTTGGTGTCATTCCATTCAGTGGTTCTCTAAAAGAAGACATTTGTATGTATTTCCCATAGGGTCTTATGTTAAACTAAGTCCCCCGCTGGCGGCAATCTTGGATGATGGATCGGCTTCTAAGTAACAACACTTTGTCAACACCTCATAAGGAACATTCATGCCATGTTTGGTTTCATTCCATTCAGTGGTTCTCTAAAAGGAGACATTTGTATGTATTTCCAATAAGGTCCTATTTTTAACTAAGTCCCCCGCTGGCGGCAATCTTGGATGATGGATCGGCTACAAAGTAACAACACTTGGTCAGCACCTCGTAAGGAACATTCATGTCATGTTTGGTTTCATTCCATTCAGTGGTTCTCTAAAAGAAGACATTTGTATGTATTTCCCATAGGGTCCTATTTTAAACTAAGTCCCCCGCTTGCGGCCATCTTGGATGGTTGATCGGCTTCAAAGTAACAACACTTGGTCAGCACCTCGTAAGGAACATTCATGTCATGTTTGGTTTCATTCCATTAAATGGTTCTCTAGAAGAAGTTCAAAATGTAAAAAGTTAACGAAGACGACGGACGACGGACGACGGACGACGGACGCCAAGTGATGAGAAAAGCTCACTTGGCCCTTTGGGCCAGGTGAGCTAAAAAAGGAGACGAGGGCAGGAGAAGAGGGGAAGATGAGAGGTAAATGAATTCATTCTTTGGTGTTTAATTCATGCAAAGCAATACGTTTTGTCATAAATAAAATAAAGATTTTTGACGTACAATATAATAGTGTTATGTGCTATAATATTGCCACGTGCTCAACACTCGAAACAATGTGGGCGTTCGTCAAACAATTCTATAAGTTGGGTGGGAATAATTGACCAACATGGGAGGAGTAAGCAATTCAAATTACTGTTACAGGTTAAGCGATAAACTTCATCCATCAATCACTTAGTATACTTATTTCTAATAGTTAGTTGTTTTGTGCATAGACGATCAATTAGAAGTGATTAACAATAAGAAATAGCGGTTAACCGATAAAAATAGCGGTTAATCGATATATTAATAGCGATTAACCGATAAAATAGCTGTTAACCGATATATAAATAGCGATTAACCGATAAAAAAAGCGGTTAATTGATAAAATTAGCGGTTAACCGACATATATATAGCGGTTAATCGATTAAAATAAAAGAACGAAACAAAATAAGATAAAATCAACGAATTAGTACTCCGTATTGCCATATTAATTTCTGTTCCATCGTACTACTTGAAAGCAAATTAAAAGTAAGTTATAAACTATTAATAAACAAAACTCACGCTGAGTTGCCCTGTATTGCCAGCGAATGTGGTTCCAAGAACTTAGATGTATCATACAGACACGTCAGTTAAGAAATATTTGATGAAATAAAATAAAGTGAATCCTCGAAAATAAGAATGACATTGTACTTCATAATTGTCAGCTGGGCAGATGATACCATTGGAAATGCGTTAGTTCATGTTTGTTATTATGTGTATACTTACATATACGGCTTTCAACCATTTGTTGTCCCTTAGCTTTTGCCTACCAATGGCAATGCATCTTTTTCATGATTGCTTCATACTGTTTGAGTTTTGATCCTTGATGAGCGAATGATTAGACCACTAAGTGATAAATGTGCAATGGGTGTCGCATTAAAAGCTGAATATAAGTACGCTCATTGAGCATTTAATATCATTGTCGTTCTGTGTATGTTTTGTTAATGACTCATTGATAGCAAATGTCACATTCATTTATAGTTTCCCAGATGTCAATATTCTAACTCTATCAAATAGATTTCATGAATATAAGGGGTTCTTCCCACTTGTATCACTTAAATATTTCTTAAATGCATCGGTTTTTCTGTACCCAGAGTACATTGTGTGGTTTGAACACGACCATATTTCTCATTTCCGTTTGATGACCAACTAAACGTCAACTTAACACAGAAAGATACCCACCCATAACGAATATACCACATCAAACTATAAAACAGAAATTAAGAATACATTGCGCAACAGTTTTCATGTTTTAGTCCATGGAAGTTTGTATCCACTAACTTTTTCTATAATAGCGATTATTTTGAGACAACCCCCACTTTGTATTTTCAGTTATTCTAATAATATTTGGTTGTCCAAAATATTAAAATATTTGTTTTTAATATGTATAATGACTCTACCTTTAGCATTGTCTATTCGCCAATATGTCAATTATTCAGGTACATGGTCCTAGTCATCAGTAGTGTATGTTGCACAACAACGGCGACCACGTTATTTTGTTGACGCCAAATTAAAAATTGAAAACAACACGTTTAATAATTTCATGCGTCCACAGCGCTTTTCTGGATTTACCTTCATCAGGAACGCTCAAAGCCAAACATTTGAAATCCGAGGGATGTATAATTACCGAAACAGTTGAAGAGCGATATGACAAAAATACCTAAAACAAATAGCAAAATTCATCTAAGGTTAACTTTGCCTGAGGGAGTTGAAACCTTAGTTTCTTTATAATTTCAAAATTTATAAACGGGCAATTTTAGAAAAGTTTGTTATAAATCATGTCAGTACCGAAGTACTGACTACTGAGCTGATGATACCCTCGGGGACTGATAGTCCACCAGCAGAGGTATCGACCCAGTGATGTAAAAATTGAAAACAACACGTTTAATAATTTCATGCGTCCGAAGCGCTTTTCTGGATTTACCTTCATCAGGAACGCTCAAAGCCAAACATTTGAAATCCGAGGGATGTATAAGTACCGAAACAGTTGTAGAGCTATATGACAAAAATACCTAAAACAAATAGCCAAATCCATCTAAGGTCAACTTTGCCTGAGGGAGTTGAAACCTTAGTTTCTTTATAATTTCAAAATTTAATATGTAATATAAAGGGGTACCAACTTGTGCCTGACAAAAGTATCGTTTTCACATAAATAATAAAAAATTCGCTTTGTCATTACAAACAAATATACGTTCAACAAATCTATATTCAGATATCTTATATAAGACTAGAATAAGAAAATGGTTAAATTTGGACAAAAATCTTACAGCTTAAGGAATGTTAAGTCGAAAACAACCAAAGGAAACGTTTACATTTTGAACTAATGATAATACTTACTCAGTTTTAAAATTCTATAGATTTAATGTAGCTTTATTGTTGAAAAGCTAGAAATATTTGAAAATATGGTCAAATCGCACATACCGTTTTTTTTTTTTATTTTTAGGAAAAAAAAGCTCGTTCAACCCTTATTTTAATTTTTGGATTCAGCATAAGAAGATCTATCAAATATGTGAACATAGAAATTATCTACCGGGGGTACTTATAAGGGTGAGTCAGCTTTATGTAAGCTTATATCTTCCATCGGGCGTGTAATATGTATCAAAGACAAAACCCCATTAGTTATGCTTTATTTATTTACCAATAACGGTTACAATGCACCAAAACTGTGCATAAGCCTTGTTTGCGTAAAGTATTAAACTGTTGTATTTATTTCTTGCTTATTAAGCTAATTAAAGATATAGCAAACAAAATAGAGATCGTGTATGGCAATATGTGATAATAGACATAAATGGAAAAGTTATAAAGGATCCAATTTTAGATAAGGTATAAAACATTGTTTCGAGTATTGACAGTGTGAAAGACCGTTAGTCGGAGATCTAAAACAAAGTTATAAATACACCTTTTCAATTGCTTCTATTGTTATGATATTACTTGTAATAAATGATTATCTTAAAACAAATTGATATTGTCAAATATCTTCTGCAAGGCAAATCTACTGCAAGTACTAAATAAAACAAACCATATGCACGGTTAAACAAATATATACATACTGTTTTTATAATGCAGATTTACATAATGGCTTATCTTTAAATACTTCTTAATATCAACAAATGAAAAAAACTGACTAATTATAATAATCAGGATGTGTCTCAATGCATTCCGGTTGACATAACTGTTTAGAGGTTATTCCATTTTAAACAGGTAGCTACAAAAAGGCTTCATTACTGGCCTTGGATCGTTGAAGATGAAACATATATAGAGAAATATTCAGAGGGCAATATTGTATAAAATACCCAACAAGAAAATGGGTAATAAATGCAATCGATGTATTTTAAAGTCTTCATGACTGATCCTAGATCCTCATTTAAAAAATTTTCTCCAAAAATTAAATGCACAAAATATTAAAATGACTTTAAGCGTAACGTAAACTAAAATCAGTAGTCCTTCATTATATATGCTCTCAGTACAGTCATAATGTCGATTGTTGGTGAAGGTTTACTCCCCGATATTATCATAGCATTGACAAATTGGACAAACAAGACGGCGTGAAAATATGTGTAATGTGACAAATTGCATGCGTATTTTAAAGGACTTTGTTTCTACGGTTTTGTTAATATGTAATTTTGGATGCATTGTTATTCGTACTTGGGTTGTTAGCCTCATCTCTGCTAGGGACCGACCCTTTGATCGAAAATTGAAAGAAACTGGTGCGTCTGAAACACAAAGCTGCTACAAGGGATAAAAATTTACATCACATTTATGCATAAAAATTGCATATATATTGGAAATCACAAAATACATAAAAATGAACTTATATACAACAACTCAGTAGTACTCTTATAAAAAGTCAAAATCATTTTTTGTATTATTAATTGTAGTAATAAACATCTGTACTGTAAACAATCGATGATCTCACACAAAAAAGACATGTTCGAAAAAAACTCAGTGTAAAGTGAAAAGTAGGAGCGAACTATCAGGAGATAACCTAAACGTCAGTCACATGGTATTCATCGTAACAAGTGCTGTCCACAGAGACACTGCTTGACATACAAGAGATATTTGGCATTAAAGAAAATATGTGGGTGATTAAGTAACACGACCTTTTATAAAAGATTATTCATTCACCATTTTAACAAAATTCTTCAAATTTTTCAAACACTTGAACTCAATAAATAGAAGAACACCTAAACATACAAGTTGAGTTGTACCATTTTCGAATATTTTTGAATTTCACTTCAGTTGATTTACGCCTGTATTACGTAAGAGAGCAAAGAACTTTGTGATCCACTGCGAGAGGGATTATAAAAACCGGTATTAAGAGACAGCTGATCTTTCACAAAGATTAGAGATTTCTATGGAATGCCTTTGTCTAGGACGTATAAAATATCTTATCTAGGTTTTAATTCGTCGAATTGAGAGTAATAGACCACTTTCGAGTTATGTCCTTCACCGGAAAAGTTCGTCAATTTTGTGCGCCTTTGTGACGTCATTTACCAGATAGAGGGGATCGCCTGTATCCCTGCTCTATTAAAGATCATCAAGCGTCTTTGTGATCGTCAATATGCAGGATAAACTAGAAATAATATTTGTTCCGTAAGTACTTAATCACAATTCCCTAATGACAGCAGTGCTGATTATCAATCATAAGAATTTAATTTGCCGAATAATTTGTGCAATATAGCATTATCATTTTTTCAACCAATCGCTCAACATAGAAACGGAAGTGACGACGCCCCTAAACGCACGAATGATGTTCACTAAAACCAAATTTTTGACGGAAATGCAACGAACTCGAAAGTTGTCTATTGAATTGGTCTCAAATAAGGTTTTCTCAAAAAGTATTCGCATATGAATCTCAATTATTAGATTATTTGAGAGATTGAAAACGGAATGCTATCGTATATAAATTGACTCATATTGAGTCAGAATTATCACTGGTCTGCAATACAGATTTTAAATCTAAAATCAAACATTACAAAATTAAAAATCTATCTACACTAAAACATAATATCAGTGCAACTTCTAGTTCAGATTATCGAACCATAGCTACGTCTGAACATGTAATTACAAGTTTGCAATTCGTATGGAAAGAAAAGTGTATTTCCTCCACATTGTTTTGGAACTACATATTACATTGTTACTCGGTAGCTTAGCAAAACAAAAATCAAATTTCTTTGGCTCCGAATATACTGGTGCAATTGTATACACGTTTGAGTCTTCAAAATAAGTAATTGAACATTAGTCGTTGCATTAATACAAACATATGTTAAGCATCCTCTGATATTGTTAGAAATATATTATATCATTGTATCTAATATATCTCTTTCTGAAGGCTTACAATTTCACAGATCATCAGAAATTGGCATACACATTTGAAGACTCCAAATAAAAGTTCAAAGCTTCATAACACAGACGGTACTCGTCCTGAAAATATACGAAAACGTCCATGTTAAATTTATCACTTAATAAAAAGAAAGATCCATTATCGAAACGTCGAAACATTTACTGAAATTTCAGTTATCCAAAAACTACCAAAGTGTTCCTTAAGTATATCTAACATAAATATTGCAGATTTATGAACATGACACGGAACAAACATGATTCAGACGATAATTCGGAGACACCCATGATTGATAATCTGAAGAAAAACCCACATTACAGCTGTATAAACGACAAGTAAACAATTAACAAAACACTTCACACAAAAAAAAAACTAAGAACTGAATGACTGGGTAAACCAACCCCATCAAAAACGTTGCATTTATGCATTCGTATTTTGAAGATAATATAATAAATTATCAATGTTACAGTTATATGAGTAATTAACTAAACATTAATAAAATTTTGGTTAAAGATGTTTGTCGATAAGTAGTTTCATTCTGGACGAAAGTATGTATGATATGCTGTGTTCGTTTCATCTTTCATCCCAAGTCATTCACTACTTTTGGTTGTTTCATTTCAAGTAATCAAAAATACACTTTAATACCAACTGAGTGCACTTTTCATTTATGATTGTTAACTGAAGTTGTCATTTTATACTTACAAAATCTGCGAAAAACTCTGGTCTCCTCAACTGCAGTAGCCTAGCTAGCTGGAATATGTCGGCATTATCATCTATTGTCATACTGGACACAGCGTTTGAAAATGTACAAAACAGTCCACAGCTTTTAGCACCATCACTATTTGAACAACAAAGTATTTAAAATAAAAAAAAAAATGGTTAAATAATGTCCAAGCTGTTAAAGTATGTTGATAATAAGATTATATTAGTAACAATTTCACATGGATCAAGAAATACCAATGTAATAAGTTGAATAAAGTTATCTCATGAATAACGTATCTCATATCATTAGAAGCTACATCATAGTAACGAGTTAACGAACGTTCTTGTAACGGTGTGCAATGGGAAAATCATTCTGAAATCACGAAGTCAAACTGATATGCTTATCAAAATGAGTGATACTGCCAGTGGGTCAAACGTCACTATCGTCTACTAATATCTTATAATTTAAAAGCAATGTTTAAAAGGAAAATTTTTAATATTTCAATTAATAATTCAAATATTAACTATTTATGAACATGTATAAAAATTATTTTCAAAGACTGCTCATCTATCATTCAAATCACACCAATTAAGCAGATAAGGAAAAATATTAATACGACTTTTATCAGTACTTTTATTTTGTTCCCTAAATAAGAAATGCATTGATGTAAAAAAAAAAATATTTTAATGATGACAATATCTAACGTTAATTCAGTATAAATATTATATATCAATTATGCATTTATCTGCGCACGTTTAATACATACCCGCTGACAACAGTGACTGCATCATGTGACATACTGACACGTGTTGATATCAAATTCACCAGTTTACACAACACACTTGGCTTAGGGTAACCACTACAAACAGCATAGTATATCACAATCTCCTTTGATTTTTCATCCTAAAATGAAATATCAAAACAATTATTGCTCATTTCTATGTGTTCTTTAATGAAAATCTATAGACTGTCTTAGCTATTATTTCTTTTAAAAGAAAGAGAGAAGATAACTATCAGGTTCTACAATAGACTAAATCTGCAATAACGTTTCATTTTGCAAACAATGTTTTTGTTTTCGTCTGTGAGCTAGTTGACTCTCATGAACATATATGTCAGATCTAGAAATACACGTTGTAATAATTGGACGAGAACAACATTACCTTTCTTGACATAACAACTGTACAAGACGATATATCTGATCCGTCATTTTCTCGTCTCGTTATCTTCATAGTGAAAGACCCACATGAAAATGTGTCGTCTGAAGTAGCATACACCAACTCAGCCTATATGTAGAACAAAACTGAATCGTAAATTACAGGTTAAATGTTAGGGATTGTGTGTGGTTTGTCTTATGTCACTGACAACTAAATTATCCATATTCAAGACAACAAAAAATTAAAAGGATACATTAGGTAAGAAGGTCTCAGAAGTAGGTTAACATGTGCATACAATAAATGAAATAAACTATAAATTATTACAATTTAACTAACTAACTTGAATAAGACAATTTGTATTTTAAAAATATCATTCCATGACTAGGTGTACGTTTTAATTTAAGATAACGGATACACTACCTCCGTTTGTTCATTTATAAACATGACTATAGTAGATGAGTTATGGTCCCGGATCATTGTCCAAAAGTCAATCTTAGTCTCAGGCAGTGGAAGCTGTGTCATCAGATATCCCACAAACTTTGTGTATGACTTAAATAGAATAATGTTACATAACAAATAAAATAAACACAAGATTTAGACTATTGAACCAATAAATTCGTAGTGATATTTTCACCCAATTATTTACGATATTTATGAATGATGAATTGAAAATATGAATATCTTGGGTAAACGCATAAAAACGATATATCAAATTAACGGGAGTTATTTTACACAATGCAACAGCATAAATTATAGTACACAGATGAAAACTAAGTCGATGAATTACAGTATTGAAAACATTAGTTAAGCACATATTTGCTGGCATATAAAGTTCCCTGTTGTTACCTGCTTTTTTACGTTTTGTGTTATTTACCCATTGTATTTATATGCTTATTTTGCTTAATTGTTGGTTTCCAATATGTTGTTTTGTTTACTTAAGCTGTTTGATAAAAGTGCTGCCTGTTCTTTCCGTCGTCGCATCAAATTGTATTTTAGCATCGTATTAATATTTTGAAGACCGTGTATATTTACGCCAAACGCTTTTCATTTTAAACTGAAAAAATAGATTTGCAAATTGATCTACAAATTTTAAAGTCAATTGGTTGGAAAAATGTAACAAAAATCTTCTGAGGTCACTTTTTAAAATCATTTTCTTAATGAGAATTGAAATTTGTATATTTCATGAGATTACATTTTTTTTATTTCATGAGGATATTAAAAATAATAATAAGTTTTTGTTAAAAATGATTTAATTTATCAACAGTTTGAATTAATTAAAACCTTTGCATTTGCTTGTTTTAGAAAAAAAAAACATTTTTCAATCTCATTCTAAAAAGCAAATATTGAAATTGCTAACCTTAAGCATTTTTCATTTTGACTTTGAATATTAAAAAATGAAAAATGCTCTTACTGTAGCATTTTTCATTTTGACTTTAAATATTGAAAAATGCTCCAACGCGGACTTTTAATCTTGAAAAATGAAAAATGCTCTAAGATGGTGCATTTTTCATTTTGACATTGTAAATTGGAAAATGAAAAATGCTCTAATGTAGAGCATTTTCATTTTACTTTGCAATATTAAAATTTGAAAAATGATCCAATCTGCATCATTATTTCTATTTTTAATAAGTAGAACAAAATGAAATGTGTTTCAATAAAGGTGTTTTAAATTTTCAAATTGTCGACACTATTTTTAAATGTTTCACTGTTTCTTTTTTTTTTTCTTTTTTCCTTGTTTTAAGCAAAATATCTTGAAGAACTTGTTAATGATGTATACGTGTGCACTGTGTGTGGTATCAACTAATTCCGAACATGAGTAGTATACTGAAAAGTACGATAATAACCAAAAAGATGTGAATTTTTATTAAGTAGTTTACCCGCAGAACACACGACTGTATACCACATGTGTGTGGAACATGCCAAATATCCGTATGTATATATGATAACATTGAGAATGGAAATGGGGAACGTGTAAAAGAGACAACAACCCGATCAAAGAGCAGAAAACAGCTTAAGGCCACCACTGGGTCTTCAACACAGCGAGAAAATCCAGCACTCGGACGCGGGCTTCAGCTGGCCCCTTCAAAAAATGTTCTTGTTCAGTGAAAATGGACGTCACACTAAAATCCAAAATATAAATGAATTAAAATTGAAAAAAAAACAAGACTAACAAAGGCCAGCGGCTCCTGGCTTGGGACAGGGGTTAAATATGTTTTGTGAGATCTAAACCCTCGCCCTATACCTCTAATCAATGTAGAATATACAAACACACACCAACACGCACAGTAAAACTCAGAGTCCGATGTCTGAATAGATTACAAAAGAAACTAAGCAAAATGGCAATGATACATAAATTAACAACGGACAACAAGCAGTTACTGATTTGCCACCTCCAGACCTAAATTAATCTGATTGAAAGATAATTTCTTCATCATATGAAAATCAAGCACAATCTCACCCGTTAGGGATTTAGTATCATACCATCATAAAATATATGAGAAGAACATAACCCGTTTCATGCCAACAACTTGTTTTAGAATATTTTTTTTTATTTCCTATGCAAAGACTCCATGAGTGAATAAATATTTATACCAAAATATGCCATATTTAATGACATGACAACAGTATCGTAACCATATCCCTTCTGAATAAGTCTGTTTAAATGTTTGGTTAGCTTTTGAGGCGAATGCCGACTTTTTTGTGTTTTGTATAGAATATTACCGTATAAGATTGGATGTGAAATACCTGAGTTTTCTCTCTTAGTGTACTGACTCTTCATGATTAAGTTATATAAGTTATATCTTAAAAAACGATATTAGACGCCTTCAGATGGAACATATTTTTAAAACTTAATTGTTTTTTTCTTCTTTGGTCCTTCTGGTCAAATTTAAATGCCGTTAAGTATACATCAAACGTCTTCTTAAAATTGCCCAATAATATACCGACAAAACGATTCGTGGAGTATTTTCTTGTGACCCTGATATTGATATATTAAATAAAAATAAACTTGAACAAAAAAAAAAAAAAAAAAAAAAATAGGATTTCGAACATGGGAGGATGTCAATGATAACTATACAAGGCTGCATTTAGCAATTACAGACACAAACCTTTCCTGTGCCTGTGTGTACAACGGACGGACGCCAAAGAGTGATTATCGACAACAATTTAACAGGTTATTAAGCTTAAATATGCTAAATACTAGAACGCGCTTCAATTCAACTCTTATATTTTGTACCAATATATGTTTACTGCACTTGCATACAACACAAAAAATTGTCACGGGGATGATCTATGAAGAAGAATTAAATTTCCGTTGAAAAGAGTCTATGACAGATATTTTTATAGCATTCAAGCTGAAAAAACGTTCATTGTAGATTTTCTGAACCTGGTTTAAAACCAAGATTTGTCTGCACTTACTGCAATGCTATCCATAGATTATTGCAGTGAACAGAAAACCTGCAAGTTTGAAATAACAGTAACCCATTGGTCAATATGGAGATATGACAATGTCAATGGTGATAATGATAATTTCAATGGTGATAATGGCGATGTCAATGGTAATGTGAGATTATCCGTCCGTAAAGTTGTTTATTTTTATGGAGTATGTGCATATCTACGGAGCCCCTTAAGTCCCAAAGAAGAAATTTTAATTATTTGTATGCGCGACTTTAAATCTTGTGCGTACATCTTTAAATCTTGTGCGCACAACTTTTAAACTTGTGCGCACAACTTTTTAAAACGTGTGCGCACAAATTTTTGAAACTTGTGCGCACAATTTTTAGAAACTTGTTCGCACAACTTTAAATCTTGTGCGCACAACTTTTAATCTTATGCGCACAACTTTAAATCTTGTGCGCACAACTTTTGTAAACTTGAACGTACAACTTTTTAAACTGTCCACAGAACTGTCAGTCATATATGTCTATAAACATGCTTGCATTTGCTAATTAATCAAACAAGGATGGGCCTGATTTTTACGTATATTATTTGGGGAATAAATCATAAGGATATACATATACTGCAGTTTCTGGCATTGACGCTATTTCAAATATTTGAGGTGTTAGCCGAAGGACCATGTGAGCTATTGTCATCAATAAGCGACAGTTGTCCGCCCGTCCACAATTCACATTTTAATTTTCTCCTCTGAAACCACTGAGCCAATTCGGACCAAACTTGTCAGGGATGATCCTTGGTAGGAGGGGATTCATGTTTTGTTTTTCTCATGTGGTGGTCAATAGGTCTATGGGGTCTAAGAACTTGAGGTTAACTTAAAGTTTTAATATAGGCTTCAAAGGAAGGGGAAAGCTTTAAAAAACGTAAAAACCAGCAGTAGCAAGGCAGTCATATTGTCTGACTCATCAAAAGGACATGATGTTTCAAGTTTATATAAATGAAAGTCTGGGGGTCCATGCGGTCCGAGCAACTGGGGTCCACAGTTTAACATGAGCTTTAATTTGAAAATTCTATAAAAGTCTTGTTCTTATGAATCAACAGTAGCAATGCAGTCATGTTTAGCATGAAACATCAAAAAGATATGAAAATATTCAACTTTGAACAATGAAAAAAATTACACGAACCAACAATGATGAAGCAGTCATGTTTTGCATGAAGCATGAATAGGACATACAAATTCAAATTTATATAAATCAATGCCCAGTGATATGTGGGTACCAGAATTTATGAGGAAAAAGCTAATAATAGTCATCAATGTACAAAAGCTTTAAAAATATTCTTTGGAACCAACAATGATAATGCAGTCATATCTTGAATGAAGCACAAGTACGATATAAAGATCTGGGATGCAAGCAGTGAAAGTCCGAATATTTAAATAAGCTCTAATTGGAAAAAAAAGCTATTAAAATCCTCAAAAGCATCACATTCAGTGCCATTTCTTTTACTTTTTCCTTTGATGTGGTAAAAATATAAATTTATTGAAACTGATTTAATCAAAATATTTTATAATGATCAAAAGCCTTCGACCTCGACCTGAATATTAATGCCATCAATTACTTATCAATTATGGACGTTTGACGAGGTCAATTCGTTGTTATATGCATCTGTTGAAGCTATGTCGACAAAGAACGTAGTCCGAGGTTGATATTTTGATTTAGGAGGTCCATATAACAACGTTTTGGTTGAGATAAAAGTCCTTTATTTTTATATTACATGTTATATATGTAAGAATAAATAATAAACATAAGATGTGTGTGACGTTCTCTAACTGTCATATACGGGGTAACTGTATGAAGAAGGCCGGTAAGAGAATATCATCGTCTATGATGCTGAAATACGAAATAAATGTGAAAGTTTTGCGACTGATACAATTGTTATGTCGGCTAGATAAGTACTGAAATTCAGAGATCAATACGTGCATTTAATTTTGCAATTCAAAATTTGCGTTTAATAATTTTACTGCGATTTCAGTAAATGTTAAATAAATAGTAGGGTGCCCAGTCAACAAATTTGATCGATTTGGGTTAACGGAATAACAAACGGCTATATTTTATATCATTGGAAAGAGGAGAACAAGCCTCGTCGAAATATTGATG